AAGCATAAGCGGGCCAAACGCACTTGGGGAAGACCAAGGGTTTTTCGAAATTAAGGGCAAACCAGCCGAGTGGGACGCAACTAAGGGCATAAAATCATTTATCCCATCCATAAAAGATTTAACACAATCAAACTTGAGGTTTATACCTGACTCCTTACCTTCGTCGAGTTCTCAATCTTCAAAGTTGTATTTAATTCTTTCCAATAAATCCCATTTGAATTCAATGGTCTTCTTCATAAAAGAACAAGTACAAGAAGTATCGAGCATGAATCGATCATTATGAGAAAGCCGAGCATAAAAACTTTGAATAATAATTTCTCTTGAGAACTCATAATTGGGGCATCAATATAACATTGAGTTAAGCCTCCGCCAATCTTGACCGATACTTTCTCCTTCACAGGCCAAGAATTATACATATAATTCTGATCACGATGAACAGATGCATAGGATAAAACTTCTAATGAAATTCCAATTTCAATCGGTTGTAGTTCCATGATCCAATATCATCACATAGCCTATACCATGTCAATGCCTTCTCCTTCAAAAATAAAGGGAAGACCTTCTTCTTGACTTCATCCTTGGGCAAACTGCAAGCTTAAATAATTCATAAACTTCATCCACATAGATTAGGTGCATATCAGGATGTAATGTTCCATCTCCTACATAAGGATCAGCTAGCAGCTTCTCTATCATACCCGGAGGAATTTCATAATAAATATTTTCAGTAGGTGTAGTAGGTTGAGGAGCAACTCTTTGCTCTTCCGGTCGAGGTGATGATACCCCGAACAAGCCCCTCAAGGGATCATTTTCCATAGTAACAAGTGACAGTAAATTTCAGCACCCTATATAAATGTTTCGTTACCAAATTCCACTTACCAAAGGCGCTTCACGCCCCGGCAACGGCACTAGAAAAGAGTCTTTATGACCCACGATAATAGGGGATCTATCATAGTCCTTTTGATAAGTAAGAGTGTCGAACCCAACGACGAGCGGAAGGAAATGATAAGCAGTTTTCAGCAAGGTATTCTCTGCAAGCACTGAAATTATCGGTAACAGATAGTTGTGTGATAAGATAATTCGTAATGGGTAACAAGTAACAAAAGTAAACAAGGTGCAACAAGATGGACCAATCCTTTTTGTAGCAAAGGACAAGCATGGACGAACTCTTATATAAAGCAAAGCACTCTCGAGGACACATGGGAATTACTGTCAAGCTAGTTTTCATCATGTTCATATGATTCGCGTTCATTACTTTGATAATTTGATATGTGGGTGGGCCAGTGCTTGGGTTTTGCCTTCCTTGGACAAGTCTCCCACTTATGATTAACCCCTCTCGCAAGCATCCACAACTACGAAAAAAGAATTAAGATAAATCTAACTATAGCATGAAACATATGGATCCAAATCAGCCCTTTACGAAGCAACGCATAAACTGGGGTTTAAACTTCTATCACTCTAGCAACCCATCATCTACTTATTACTTCACAATGCCTTCCCCTAGGCCCAAATCATGGTGAAGTGTCATGTAGTCGACGTTCACATAACACCACTAGACGAAAGACAACATACATCTCATCAAAATATCGAACGAATACCAAATTCACATGATTACTTATAACAAGACTTCTCCCATGTCCTCAGGAACAAACGTAACCTCTTACAAAGCATTTTCATGTTAATAATCAGAGGGGTATTAATTATCATTAAGGATCTGAACATATGATCTACCACCGAATAAACCAACTAGCATCAACTACAAGGAGTAATCAACACTACTAGCAACCCACAGGTATCAGTCTGAGGTTTTGAGACAAAGATCAGATACAAGAGATGAACTAGGGTTTTGAGAGGAGATGGTGCTGGTGAAGATGTTGATGGAGATTGACCCCCTCTCGATGAGAGGATCATTGGTGATGACGATGGCTTCGATTTCCCCCTGCCGGAGGGAAGTTTCCCCGGCAGAACAGCTCCGCCGGAGCCCTAGATTGGTTCTGCCCAGGTTCCGCCGCGTGAGGCAGCGCTTCATCCCGAAAGCTCCCTTCTGATTTTTTTCCAGGTCAAAACACACCATATAGCAGAAGATGGGCATCGAGGGCCTGCCAGGTGGCCCACAAGGCTGGGGGCGCGCCCTCCACCCTTGCAGATGGCAGGTGGCCCCCTCTGGTGCTTTCATCGCCCAATATTTTTTACTAATTCCATAATGACTCTTCGTGAAGTTTCAGGACTTTTGAAGTTGTGCAGAATAGGTCTCTAATATTTGCTCTTTTTCCACCCCAGAATTCCAGCATTCGGCATTCTTCCTCTTCATGTAAACCTTGTAAAATAAAAGCGAAAGGCATAAGTATTCTGCTATAATGTGTACTAACAGCCCCTAATGCAATAAATATCAATATAAAAGCATGATGCAAAATCGATGTTTTAGTAAGGCACAAATCAAGATTTTACATTATGGCAGTAACATTAAATAAACAATTTATTTATAGAACAAAGTAACTTATCAAATACATTCATGTCCTACTTTACCGGTGCATAAGATAGCTTCAAAATTTCGTAACTAATCCATGCATTTAATTTTGCATCGACCTATCAGTCATTGAAGTATGTCAAAATTATAAGGTATATTTATTAGTAAATTAAAGTTTCAGAAGACAAGTTCATAATGCAATTTTCTTTCTGTATGTAACCTTCATTTTAAGTTTACTAACTATTTTTTGTAAACTTAAATCATTTACATACATGTGTCTATACATGTATTTTTCTTTTCCATATAATAATCCATATTCGAAATTTGCATTGTAGAAAATATTTAATAAACGTGTGGTCCTAATTCTTCTAAGGGTACAAGATTGTACATGTGTTGTAAGTTTCACTTTCCTTAACTAACATGATGCCCTAGTTTCAGTCTCTTTAACTAACCAACTTGGCAAGTTTCTGAGTCTTAATTCCTGGTGCTTACAATAACTTCCTTGATTCCTAAAATACATGCGTACGTGATTATTTGTGTTCTAAGATCCAGCCCCAAATTTTTCGTTACAAACAAGATTGGCATCTGACTTCTTGAAACAGGACAAACTAATAGAAGCCCCTAAAAGGATAAATGATCGAATACTCAGCAACCATATGTAGAACTTGTGCTTACAAAAACACTTGAATTACGTCAAACATACGTCATCGACTAAGCTGTGCCGGATAACCTTATGGACTACGTCTCCTACAGTAGTTCAGTCGTTGCCGTCTGTGAGGGATTCGCAACAGAATAGCTCGGATCGCTTCTAAGAAGAGAAGCAGAGGGTACTTGAAGAACACACGGGGAGAGAGAAGAACACACTGAAAGTTTTTAGCACAATGCTGGGGTTTTAGTAGGAACTTGTTACAGGAACTGTTTACCTAAATATCTATACCTTTGAAAACGGAACCACGAAAATAGGTATAATACTTTATATTTATGATATGAATACAGATATATGTGTATTGATATGCGCCGGCGAATACACGGAGTACAGAGATAAATTTGCGAATCTTGGCGCAGAACATTTGAGTGCCCCACCGGTGTGTGCCACAAATTTTCTCCCAGTCAAACACCTCTACTTTGATTGAAAGGTCGATCGTGCTACATAGTGAATCATGCATCTAGGTGGCTTCAAATTTGTATCAGCATGCATATGGCAATGTTAAACTTTGGACTCTAATCCAACGACGAGATGTGTCGAGCTCCACGTGTCGTCACCTTTGTGACACGGGGTAATTTTGCGAGGTACTACCCCCTAATTAGTGGTTGTGTAAGTATATATATTGCCTGAAAAATCACCTAAGTATATATATATTCAGGATAGCATGTGGCACCGGTTCAAATATATGGATCATGAGATTCCCACGTTTGCGAACTACCAGTAGGTGGCATTCACTGGCCCTCTGTTGATTAAAACTTGGCAGCGAATTCCGCTCTGTGATGACTGATGACTAATTAGTTTATGAGTTGATCTGCCGACGTGCTTCCGTCTGGGTCTGGCTGTCCAGCTGCCTCCATTATACATACGGTGGCCGCCGGTGTACCTGCCACGGCAAAGATTCCGGAGAGTGCAAACAAGGAACAACTCATTAAACCATGCAAATTTTACCTGCTGCTCCGGAGGACAGCCCACCATATGCAGGCGTGGGGACACTCCGGCGCTATATATTTCCCAGGCGCCAATCCAGCTGCAGCAGCAGCACAGCTACCTAGCCATCCTCATCCTCGCATAGCGTAGCTTTCTTGGCGTGTGAAGATGGCGTCGAGGGCTGTGAAGGTGGCGCTGCTGCTCGCGGCGGTGGCGACGACGTGCGCGCTGGCGCAGCTCCACGAGAAGTTCTACGGCGAGACGTGCCCCAGCGTGGAGGATGTCGTGAGGAAGGAGATGGTGAAGGCGCTGTCACTGGGTGCTTCGTCAGGGTAAGCAGCATTTGCATACATGTTGTCTGTCCGTAACCTGTTTTGTGCAGTGGCCTGACCACCATGAATGCAGGGGTGCGACGGCTCGGTTCTGCTGGACTCGGCCAACAAGACGGCGGAGAAGGATACGCAGCCGAACCAGACGCTGCGAGGCTTCGGCTTTGTCGAGAGGGTGAAGGCCGCGGTGGAGAAGGCCTGCCCCGACACCGTCTCCTGCGCCGACATCCTCGCCCTCATTGCCAGGGACGCAGTATGGCTGGTGAGTAGAGTACCAGGCCATTTTGCAAATGACACGGTACGTGTGGAAGCCAAATTCTAATGCTGCTCGATCATGGTTTCTCCATAGCAAGGGTCCATTCTGGACAGTTCCTCTCGGCCGGCGAGACGGCAGCGTGTCCATTTCCAACGAGACCGACGCTCTGCCACCCCGACCTCCAACTTCACCGTGCTCACCCAGCTCTTCGCCGCTGTGAACCTCGACGCCAAGGACCTCGTCGTCCTGTCCGCCGGGCACACGATCGGGACGTCGCACTGCTTCTCCTTCTCCGACTGGCTCTACAACTTCACCGGCATGGAGAACCCCAGCGACATCGACCCCACGCTGGAGCCGCAGTACATGATGCGGCTCAAGAGCAAGTGTGCAAGCCTCAACGACAACACCACCCTCGTGGAGATGGACCCCGGCAGCTTCAAGACCTTCGACACCGACTACTTCAAGCTGGTGAGCAAGCGGAGGGGCCTCTTCCACCCCGACGGCGCCCTCCTCACCGACCCCTTCACCCGCGCCTACGTCCAGCGCCATGCCACCGGTGCCTTCAAGAACGAGTTCTTCGCCGACTTCGCCGACTCCATGATCAAGATGGGCAACGCCAACCCGCTCACCGGAAGCCAAGGTGAGATCAGAAAGAAGTGCAGCGTGGTCAACCATTAAACCACCGACGAAGTACAAGGCCGTTTTGATTTGTAACAATCTTTTTTCCTTGTAAATTACTGTAAGATTGTTATAGCTCCTTTCTCTCCTAAATCTTTTTCTTTCATTAACTTATTGTTTCGTTACAACCATGTTAGTTCCTTGTACACAGGACGAACACTTTGATATTGCCACCTCTGACGTGTCGTCCATTGTCATCTGGAGATTATTCATGTCACGGTTACTAGTTTTGTCTATGTTTGTCTTTGTTTTATTTTAGATTGTTACATAATGTTTTGTTGTGTTTTTTGTTTTACCTCAGAGTATATCATAATGTTTCACATGTACAAGTAAAAGGGAAAGTTATTGTCAGATTATCTTTATTTATTTATTTGGGGCAGGATGGATAGCAACCATCAAATTTTGCGGCATTGACTGTTGGCACTGACATGCATTTGGTCTCTTCTTGTTAGAAAGTGTATCTTTATGTTTAGTTGTCTATCTGTGAAAAACAAATGCAGAAGCATGAAGAACGATAGATCCAAGGTACTCCCTCATCTAGGTGTATAAGTCATGTAAGGTTGTGCATCGCGACCAAGGCGGAGGAAAAAACGAGAAAACTTATTGTTTATTTGCTAATTAATAGCATTGCATACAATGGACTGACCACTGTATGTCGTGTTTGTTAATCTCAAGTCATTAAAAGCATACATGTCTTACATTTTTTATTGGTTGATTCCATTATTTATGTCAGGAAACAAGAAACGATGTGAAAGTTAATGCACCGTGCCTAAATGTTTTTGGATTATTTGATTCCTAAGGTGACTTGTACACCTAGACGCGGAGTCATTAAGAAATTTTTTCAGATTTTTTTGAATTTTTTTACTATTTTTTGATTTTACGTTCATTAGGGTGCATTTGAGCTCATGTGTAGATACTTCGCGTCCTCTTTTCAAGGTGTTTATAGACCTAAGAATACGAAGCCTCCCTAAGTTTTCCTCCTCCGCAAGAGCAATGATGGTCGAAGTAGAAAAACTTCTTATAAAAAGTGTCCGGTGGTAGCTTGTAAGACATCTCATTCTTATGGGAGGGGATTTCATCTCAAGTGTGGTGTGAAGAGATCTCCTCTTAGTTGTACCGGAAAAGATGACGTCGATAGGCGCATAAACACCCTTAGGTGCTAGGCAATGACCAAATGACTCGCCTCGGACATATGAAAAAGTCTAGGCATGCAAAAGAAGAAATTGTCTACTCAAACGAGAAATCATGATACATTGCATAGATAGGCCAAACAGGCCTAGGCCATATTCTAAAGGCAAGACATGGTATTTTACGCACTTATATGCTCTAAATTAACATTGATACACATATATTACCCCAAATACACCCTGATAGCCAAAACTATACATGCACCTAGGCTACGCCTAAGGCGCTTAAACACCACTTAGGTGCTAGGAGAAGGCCAAACTCCTCGTTTATGCCTAGCGCTTTGTCCAACCTTGCCTCTCGGTGCAAAATTATCTCACCTCTTGTCGACGCAAGAGATTCTCTATCATATCTTGTTTTCGGAGTTTTGCCTCCCAATAGAATTCTTGTTCACCCTTCTCGATGGTTTTACCTTGATATCCTTGACTAGAAGACTAGGGCTTCCATGTTTTAGTGGAACAGAGCTTATACTAAATTTGATGTCTAACATGATCTTTGTATACCCCTTCTTATGTTGTTTTTTCACTACTACAACAGAAGTGTATGTATTTCTTTTGAAGTTTAATGTTTTTCTCATATATTTAATTGTGTTTAGGGCTAAAATATAGAAAAAAATCCTTTTTAGGTTGGTTACAGATCAAGGAGAAAACGAGACTAGATGAGGAAAAGGACAAAAGCCAACTCATGACGACCACTAGGGAGTCCATGCAGTCGGCCATGTGTCAAACCTTGTTGTGTGGGTTCATTACATGACCCACATAGTACCCCCACCCCCACCCCCGCCTAACCGCGCTTGCTCGTCTGAGGGCTTTTCCTTCACCCCTACATCTCATTCGCCTATTTATTACAATTTTTTAGCGATGGTGGTACACTAAATCTTTATTTGCATGAGATATCCGAGGATCACAATAGATCCAATCTCTAAAAAGGCTTTCTCTCGATCCAATCTAGATTAGCCAACTCAAACAAATAGATGTAAGATGCACTCTCATGATTACACTTGAGTGGTGTCCTTTTGCGGCTATCATTTTTGCAGTAGTAGCTACGTAGCATCTCTCTCTCTCTCTCTCATGACTTACCTAAAGGCTTATATTATCAGATAATATGTCTATTTGGAACTCCCAGTTCAAGTACTTTCTCTCTAAATGTTTCAATAGAAGAAAACTCATAGGTTTTGCATGCTCGAAATAAGCTCATCACAACCCTTTTTTTCAAAACACGGGGTGAGCGAAGTTGTATTAATTATAAAGCACTTGGATTGGATGAATTCTCAACCAAGTCTATCAAACCTTCTAGGAGTCATGGAGTTATCTGAGACCCTCCATGTTGATCACCCTGAGCTTTCAAGAGTATTTTTCTGTGCAATTGTTTTACTTCCCACGACCAAAGGGGACAATCAATTTCCATTGTATATACTCACATGCCTTCTTATCATTGACCATATGCCTTCATTAGTAACTTGATAGCTTCTTAATTATGTCGTTTCTCTCTATCTCATGTGTAGAGTCTAAATCAGAAGTTCAACTCATATTCAAAAATCTTGATATTTTCTGTAACACAAAAATGTAAGTTTTTTATTGAAGTACTTAAATTTTCAAATACAATAAATTGTTTTAGATTTGAAAATCCTATGGAGTACAAATCAACCCATTATTATACCTTACACAGTTGTGAATCCTTAAAAAATAGTTCAATTGAAAGTACCATAATTGTACACATCTTAAAGCTGAAAAATAAAGTTTATTCAAATCTAAACTCATTCCTCAGTCATATGTTGATACGTTGACACTACTAAATAACGCATAGTCATGCCAATATCAACACTTGCATCCTCGTAACATGTATTAAATATCCAAATTGATGATAAAAAAACTTGTCTTGTGGCAAAATGCAATCATACCTACAAGCTAACTGTTTCAATTATGTGTCACCTTATCATGTGTGCCTTTAGCTCTTTGCCAAAGGTCCTTATCCATAGTTTCACTTCTCTCACCAAAAGCGTGGATTCATATGAGTCAAACTTCCTGCCTAGTACAAGTTTCTCGAGGTAAACCTACGAGGAAACAGTGGGGTAAAACAACAAAGACAGCTACCTAGGGTTGAATATTTGGTTACCGGCCACCATCCCAACACGAAGAAGAATTTTGGTCTGTGATATGGTTGTCTGGTTGTAGTTTTTTAGTTTGAGACCCAAGGGGAGCGGACGGTTTTTACGAGGTAGTGGGCTCCCTGTTAATAAATATCTTATTTGGATATGACCACATCGCAGAACCTTACTATTTCCCCACATTTTGTCATTATCTCCCTCTATACGGAATAGAACTATAGTTCCATCTCTTGAAACTTTCTAGGGGTTCTCTATTAAATTTCCCTCCACAAAATCTCTCTAATACATTATCAGTTCATAAATACTATATTTGCAATATTCCTTCCAAGGCAATATCTATGAATATAAACTGCAATCTTTGGTATTTGTTTTTAACAATATAAAATTATATTTTTATACAACTTGGACTAACATTCAGAAACGAAAATTGTGCGTGTAATATACCGCGTTATTTTTTCGGTACTGTTTTTGCTCTAATTTTTTAACCGTTTATCCGAACGAGGCGTGTAATATACCGTTCAAAAACTATGGATTAGGCGCAACTTCGACATGTTGAACACTTTTTGAGATTCCTCACGGTTTAAGAGCAGTTTTGAAAATGGTGCGGCGGATGGCGAGTGGCAGCGAGCGTTTTTTCGCGTTTTTTTCTAAACCATTTGTCGGAATGAAGCAAATGATACGCCATTGGATAGATATCATCGATGCGCATCTTTTCAATATATAAATCTTTCTCTAATTCATTACGGTTTAATAGCAGTTTCAAATTTACTAAATTGCGGAATTCTATTTTTCAACTTTTTTAAAATTTTCGGTACTGTTTTCGCTCCAGTTTTTGAACCGTTTGTCGAAACGAGGCGTGTGATGCGCTGTTGGAAAGCTACGAACGAGGCACAACTTTCATATGTTGAAATATTTTTGAGATTCCTTACGGTTTTAAGTTAATTTTGAAAATTGTGTGGCGGACGACGAGTGGCAGCGGCCGTTTTTCGCGAAATTTTTGCCAACCGCGGGTCAGAATGATTCAATCGATACACCGTTGGAACGATATCGACAATACGCAACTCTTTCATGTAGAACACTCTCTCTAATTCTTTACGGTTTAAGAGGAATTTCGAATTTACCGAAATGCGGACACTCTGTTTTTCGCGACACCCAAATCGACGTGGGTACTTCATCCGACTGAAAACCGCACTACAACGGACGGAAAACCGCACTGCATCACACGGGTAAGAGAACTGCATGGTTTCTTTTATTCAAGCGTAATTTTTTTTAAGGACGAGAAAGTAGAGTGCACTTCACATCGGGTGTAAATGAACCACAACACTATCAAGAAGTGAACCACATTACTTTTTTTGCTCCCGTAACAATTTTTTTCACTTACAGGATGAACAACATCATACGGCCGACCGCACTGCTTCTGAATGAAAACCGCACTGCATTGGATGAGCAAGCGAGGTGCATAATTTCTTTTGTCGGGCATAATTTTTCTCATATGACTTTTTGTTGTCTTTTTCTTAACTTTTTTTGAACGAGAGTGGACCGCAACACTCCCGAAAGTGAACCGCAACACTACCCAAAGTGAACCTCATGAGTTTTTGTTGTCTTTTTTCATACTTATTAATTTTTGACGTGCGTTGACCAAGCGAGTGGACCACAAGAACTTAGCAAACTGCATGGGACAACAAAGTGAGCTTTAAAGCCACATCTA